TTTATTAATATATACGTTGGGTAAGGGCAAAACCCGTCATATAACTTAACATCTCCCCAACGCAAAAATACATCTTGAAAATAGTTCGCGGTACCCGCTGCTTCACCTGACTCGGACCGGCCAGCCGACCCCGGCAAGCTCGGTGGTCGGGTGGTTAAGACATCTGCACTAGTAAGCAGGGGGTCGTGGGTTCGAGTCCCACCCGAGTAAGCTTGTGACTTTTTTCGCAAGCTCTCAGACAAGCACTGAGCATACAGTGTTTATTAATATATACGTTGGGTAAGGGCAAAACCTGTTATATAAATTACATACATGTACATGTACCTAAATCATGGCTCTTTGGATGCTAGAATGACCCACACTTCCTCCTACCACCCTACATCGGATGTGTTCTGAATAAACACAGCCAAGGTCTTCACAGCCTCTGTCATTTCACTGGGTGAATGATCAGTCTTCCTTCCATTCTATGAATTGCCCAATTTCTCAAGGTCGTGAAGAACACATGCTCCAAGTGTGCAAATCCAATCTAAGCTGACCCATGTCAGACATTGTCTTCTGTGTCACTGGTACCTGTGCCAACATTACAGTGACAGTGAATGGATAAAACGGACAGTATGAGGGTAGTCTTACCTATATCATGGCTCTTCAGCTGCTGATCCAACTCTGGAAGGAAACTGACCATCAACTGACGAAGCACCCTCTGGTCAGCCTAGAAAATTGAGAGTTGTTAGAAATCATAAAATTGAACAAATATTTTATAATTACCGCGTGAATAACTAATACATTGTGTGTACAAAGTCTGTGCATGATCCATCATTTCATGGTACAATACCATCCTATCCTTCAAATTGCAGAATAAAATGATGAACAGCAAGAAATTTTTTAACAGAAAATTATGGAATACTTCCACCTCCACTGTGATTGCTGAAAAGCACGAGCCACAGCTGAAAATAAATTGCACCGAACCTTGACATTAGAATTGCATTAAGCCCTGCGGTGTTGCATCAGTTCCCCATTGTTTACCTGTACACCAAGGAGAGTGCTGGAGTAGTAAGAGGCCGGAACCAGATCCTCAATGATAGCACACATTATCCAGAATGCGTCCTCCTCCTCCATGAACAGCAGCAAGGACGCTGCGATCTGCAAGGAGACAAGTCCACAGGTGTGAAGGAGGGGAGCATCTACATGGCAGCTACATGTGGTGACACTGGCTTTGCTTAGGTGCCAAGGTGGGTTCAGCACATGTCACGTTATGTTCACCCATGTCTGCTCATCAAGATTACCTCTTGAAACCAGTGCAGACCAGTGTTTTAGTCGAGACCAGATAGTCCAAGGCCGAGGCCAAGACTGAGACCTGAAGTTGCGAGACCGAGACCACGGTCTCGAGACCTCCAACACTGGTGTACACCGAGAAAAACAGGGTCTTGGTGAGAAAATGTGGCCACGTTTCAAACAACAAAAGATCACAACAACAACAGGTCAATGCATTACAGATAACTTGGGGGATGTAGCCGCTTTAATTGTGAAATCATTGGACCAGCTACGGTTCAGAAAAAAGAAATGTGCATTTCCTAGTCGTTCGTGAACCAGCAAACTTCAGTTCTGCCCAAAGGAGCCTCCATTGCCAGGAAAATAGGGCCCTCTCTTGGTCCAGCTCGCGGTCCGTAGCAGGAACACTGTTTCCGCCAATATTGAGAGAACTTCCACATGTTGTGATCACGTGCCCTAAACTTGACTAATGTTGGATGAGTAAGTACTCTTCAGGACTTCATCAAACGAAGGCAAACATGGCATTTTTTTCACCCTCTGCCTTCAGCTGAAAAAGTGAGTACATTTCTGATGTTCTTCCCTTCGATCCTTCAGTCAGCCTGCAAATCACGTCAAAAGAGAAACTTACCACCCCTGTTCCTTGGCAGTAGCCGATGTCGGGGTAGAGCCAGGCTATGCCACGGAGAACGCGCCTCAGACGGGACACTCCAGTACTCTTACTGGAGGAGAAGCAGGCATTGCTGGGCATAGTGCGCAGCAGATCCTGGTGAGAATGGCAATAAATGGTACAGAATATTCAAGAGTTGAGTCTAGTTGATGAGATACAAGTGTAGTAAGATGAGATTTCGGTGAGTTTATAAGAAGAGTCAAAGGACACAGAATATCAGTGTGGAGAAGAAAGGCATTTTTCTTTGGTTTTTTTGGAAGCCAACACCATGAAAATGAAAATTTGTGGAATGCCACTGGCAAAATCCTGTAAACCAAATGTTCTTTATTCTTCAAGTACTGTAATGCAATTTTTGAAATACATGTACATGCCTTTGAAAATGCAAGAAAACTTCACTTGAAGTCAATGTGAGCGACAAAAAAAAAAGATGGGGCAAAATTTTTTTAGGAAACCATACTTCAGAAAGAACCTCAAGGCCGAAGCTAAAAATTTACTGTGCTAGAGTCATGCATAAAAACATTTAATGGTTCACTCAAACGTCCGTCGGTCCCCAGACAGTGTCTGAGTGATTTTGGACAGTGTGTCTTTGCCACAGATCCAAAGTGAAGTCAACCGGTTCTATCTTTCTGAGAAATGAGTCTTACCTTCTCTATCTGTTTAGCAGTCAGGGAGTGATCGCTGGTGCTGGCTTTGATGATCTCCTGCATGACAGAAACAGATCAAATCAAACAGGTGGTACCTTAAAACCGATTAAGTACACGTAACACAACACCTAGACAACAGGCAACACAACACCTAGACAACAGGCTGCGAAGCTTGACTATAACCACTCAGACCTTTCGAAACCAACAGGCTTTGTAGGATTCTGTAGGATTTAGGGAGACATGGCTCTTTCAATATTACATGATACAAGATAAAGCATGCATAAATATGCAAAGGATACTCAAAAGCTTCTTGTCTGGACCTCCGAAATAAAGCCTGATTATACCTCGAGAAGTCCCAAGATTAGCTCAACATTTTCAAAAGCCTGAAACCAGGCTTCTGTCTAAAAACTTGCATTCCTGATATTGCCATGCAGTTCCTGTGCAGTTGTGGATTTCAGAGGGCTGAGGCAGATTCCAAACAAAAGTCCTATGGACTCAAGGTTAAGGAAGCGATGTATACCTTCTCCTTTTGGAAAGGCAATATTTAGAGTGTGGTGCATTCGGCATTCCTGTTGGCAACAAGCCAAAGAATGAAGATCAGCTGGATCATGATTTCCCCCAGCAGGTGTATACATGGGGGACATACTCCCATTCCAGAACACCACACTTGTTCAGGATGTTCAGCACGGGAACAGTCAGCCTCTTCAGAACAGACGGCTTTTGGAGATTTGAGAAAACTCCCTATCACCACAGGGGATTACACTGCACTAGCATATCAAGGGTTCAAGTTTTGGTGCCACTCTCACACAATGTCACACTGACGGGCTTCTATTGAAGAATGACCCACAGACTTAGTTGGTTAACACCCGACACACCTTGTATGATGTTTCGCTGTTCTCCTTTTTAAGTTGGGCCCCTGACAGCCTCATCCACAGGTTGGGTCGCATGCTGTGGGGAATGCCCTCATGAACCAGGTGACGTAACTTCTCTGTGTGAGGTAGTCTACTTTCAAGCTGCAGAAAAAAAAGAAAAAGAAAAACGTCAAGTCATTTATTTGTTTCCCTATTAACTACTTTTCTCATTAACAAAATAAAAGTACATGCAGCAATACCCCAAGACTGCACGTTTTCTTTCTCTTACTTTTTTTCACAGAAGATTTTGTGTTCTGATTAAAATAATACTCAAAGCACATCCGTGCATGGTGTTTTCTTCATTATAACAAAAACTCAAGTTAGTGGTGGATTTAAGGGATTCAAATGATATGACAAAGAATATAACTGGATATAAAGTTTCAACAATTCAGATTCTTAATTTTCACAGCATATTTTAATATTAAAGCCCACCTTCAAAACCACAGCTATGAGGACTATGGACACAGAATTCAAACATTCTTAATACCAACTGAATGAAAACAGACATGGGCAGACCACACAAACCAATGTAAATGTAAATGTGAATTTTATCAGATATGCAGTGTGGGAGACTTGGTCAAAGGTTCTCCCTGGTTGAAATCTCATCTAGAGATCCTAATAACGAAAGCCAAAATGTGAGCACATGTCCAAGGCTCATCCGGCTGTGAGGCAGGGATTTGTTGACGACAGGTGCGTGGCTGTGAGAGGAGTATTGATTAGAAAGAAGGGAGAGACTAGCCACAGAGCCTGGGGAAAACAATCAGGAGCTGTACTGTGAAAACTAAGAAAAACGAAAGACAGACCGGTGGAAATCACTCACAAAAGAGCTTAATTATCATTATGTATGCGCAGCATATGCATACACACTCAGGGTTTGGAATCAATAACTAAAACGCACCCAAACGTGGTCTACAATTAGAGTCATTTAATCAATTTGGGGTCCAATTTTTTTTCGTGCCCTTGTCACATCTGACATACAGTAGATGTACATGTACATGTACGGTTTTGGTAAGTTAAGAACACATTTCTCTAAATTCCACAAGTAATGAAGTACGAGTAACACAAATTACCTGCCAAACGAAGAAAACAATTTGAAGTCAATTTCAGCAATGTTCCAGATCAAATCATACACAGGTTGAGCGTGACAGGGACACAAAAATGTCTCACATTTGGAACTCGAATTGATAGAATGACCTAGTACTTTACAGAATCCTGGCCTCTACAAATAAAAAGCATGGGAAAGGATTGGCTGAGGGAAAGTCAGGGAGTTCCAAGATAAGGAAAGTGCATAACATCCCCAATCTGTCCCCATGAAAAGGCCCCTTCAAATTAGATGTCTTTCAAGGCAACTGTTAGCGTCAGCAAATTTCTCACAATCAAAGTATATCCAAAAAAATTGACAAAAAGGGATGCAGGTAGATGTATCTCATTCAGACAATTACGCCAGAGAAATAGTCAAAACTTCAAAACGACACTAAATCTCTTTGACTGTTTTACAGGAGCAATGTACCGAAGCTACTCCATAAAGAGGAATAGTGTGTGAAGCTCAGCTTCAAATACCTACAAGTGCCTATGTATGAGCTACATGTACACCGATATTGGTACAGTGTGTAATTAATTCTCCCACACGTTTGCAAATGGCAGAGTGAAACACCTGTTGTTTTAATGCAAACTGATTATGCGTGGAGGGAGGGATGACGTCAGATGTACAATTCAAAGTCAAACCTGAGAGAGTTACAGTAATCAGCAAATAATCACAGCATACAAACATGCACAGATATCTTGTGCCAGCCTTTTTTTTTGTATAATTTGACATTTTTCCTTTTGCAAATGTCACTTTAAGGTTGAGGGCTACCAGAAGAAATTGAAGGGAAAACAAAGTACAACTGTGTACACATGTTTGTACTGTACGCCAATTTTCAATTTTCACAGTGCACATCTGAATTCAGTGAAGCTTTGGATTGAAACCACGTAAATACATGTAAGTGAAATACATGTACAAAATATCTTTTCCTGTCCTTTTTTACCACACGTATTTGCAACAGAGAAGAAATGTTGATGTAAATTTATGCACATATTACCGGTACATGTACGTATATGAACACATGTACACGCATGCCCACATACTGCAGTATAGTACTGACATATTGTAAGCAGCTTATGGGGGCCGTTAGCATCTTCCGACGACAGCCACAGAGAAGACATACTACGGCATGCATTCAGTCTGGAGAGAGTCACCCACACTTCATGTATTTAGCATTTGGCCAGGTCCCTGTTTTTCATGTTTCTCAGTTTTTTACATGCACATACAATGAGCACTGCCAAAAGTAACCCTGGTGGAATGACAAAACGGTCAAGGACATTTCTTCTACCCCGTACCTCATATCAACTCTTGAAAAAGTAAATGCCTTACTTGTGATCCATATCTAAAGAACATGTACATATTGATTCTGGTGCAAATATACATGTACACTTGAGAACCTTCTCTCAGTTCTTTTGTTGTCCTTCCACCAACATCAAACATGCTCCTTTGGGGAAAAGGTTATGGCAAAGTTCTCAGCCCTGAAAATGGCTCGGAAGGCTTTCATTGTACTATTTGTAAACAAGCAAGAATAATGTCAGTCAGACACATGGAAATCGTTTGACTAATTTGAGCTTAAAATATGAAAATTTTCACTTCAAACAATATCAACAGCTGTTCCCTTGGACACACTCGAACACATTGGAGCTTTACCAGTCACAGTAAATTGCACGGCACAAACCAGGTGTACAGTGCCATTGTACTTGGTGAGCCTTTCTGTATACTGGCAACCAGTGATGACGTCAAACACAAGGTAATATCTGTGGCCTGGGGCCAATTTCACAAGCATGAAATTTGCTTAAGCGCGCAAAAAAACCTCAGGTAACCAGCCAAAACTCCCTGTTATGTATATTGTTTTGGGATCATATTTAGCTGTTTTTTGGTTAGCATGACAATCAGATGGTGTTTGAGCTGGCAACCTTAGTTTATTAAGCAAAGTTTTTTCCCACTTAAGCAAATTTAAGCAACTCTATGAAATTGGCCCCAGGTCATAAACCAAATCAAGGGATTGCCTGCTTAGTGTGGCTGAACAAAACAATCAATTTCTCGCAACAGCAATGAAGCAAGCCACATCAAACGGGCACAGATTAGGCCTGGATTTACCACCAATGCACTGATAACATGGATAATTGCGACTGCTGGTTACGAGCCATGTATATATATAACCGTGACATGCACATGACATTTTATAGAGAAGATGCACCATTCAACAAAGAAACATACTTGAAAATTCCACTTGGTTCCATTTTTATTTTGCTAGACAAATATTCTACATGTAAGTAGGTTTATTGCCTGTGAAAAGGCAGCCAGCATTAGGGGCTAAATAAACTCACTGTGGTAAATAGACAAGGGTTTATTATAGTGGTGCATCCTTTTCATGAAATGGGGAAAGGGGGAACCACAGCACTGTAATTTCTGAAGCATGGATGAGGCCAGTTCAGTGAAAACAAGGGTCAAACCCTAACCCTTCAAGTACAAATAGATTGCACAAGTTATGAGTTACTGAAGGACAGAGGCTCTTGGGGTTAACATCAAGGAAAATTTGGCTGCAATGTTTTTAATAAGGGAAGCCACCGACAAACTTGGACAAATCCCCCATACGAATAGCCCATACCTTATCCCAGGTGAGGTTCCCGACGTCCTGATTGTGGGCAAACTCAAAGTAGGCCGTCCACTTCAAGCGATGCTGTGGGTCCTCCAGGAAGGGCTGACTTAACAACTTACTGGAATTGGGCTCTGCACCGTCTGGGAAAGAAAGCACAATGGTAGAATGGTGGGGACATATCCAAACTCATGCCCTACCTGTTAGGCAAAAATAGCTGTCCTCTGTGAATCCTGCATTGCTTGGCTTTTATTTACTGCTATCTAATTGCCACTTGTCAAAGTGCCGGTCACATGGGTGATTCTTAGCAGAAGAAAAAGGTAACCAACCAGTTTTTGTAAACGTTGCTGGTTTCATGTAGGAGATTTTGACTCCTAGTGTACAGATCTCTAACCCTCATGCAGTACATGAAAATCATCAACCCCCAAGGGTGTATGTAAAATCAACTTGAAATCCGAGGATTTGGGACTGTTAGGGATAGCTATGTCACAGTAGCACTTTACAATAACTCAGCACCTGTCACTTGTGCGTATTTCCATAAAAGGAGACTGCTATACTGGGCCATCTGCATATGCAAAGATCATACCATAGTATCACTAACGGGGTGCATCAAAAAAACAAGTTGAAGAAAATCATTAATCCCAAAAGGTCCTTGTACGCATGAATGGGTTCCGAATGGGTTCCGTATGGTCGATACTGTCCCCAGGCCCCTATCCAGTTTTAAAGGTGCGAGTTTAAAACTGTCCCATCACACTTTCATACCCTGACACCTTTTTTACGTATTCTTTTTCATCTACCATCACTGGTGGCAGTTGGTGGCATGTTTTCTTGAAGCGAGTTCACCTGACTCCACAGCTACCAACCTCACTTCTATTTGACCTTGACAGCCATATCCCTTCGAACACTCTGGTGGCACTGTGCATACAACAATGGCACCGATGTACCTACTGTCAGTTCTTTATACTGTTACTTACCTTCTTCATCTACTCGGAAACCAAACTCATCATATCGGAAATCCATCTGGGCGCCAGAATCCTCAGTCTGTGGGAGGGGAAGAAAAAACCAGCCAAGCATTACTCAAACTCTACGCTCGTGACCAAATCTGTAGTGTCCCAACTGCATGCTCCAGTGTGTTTTTTTTTATTCCACGAGTACCATCACAAGACACGCATGAACCTTATCAACTTTGAAAACAAAGCTTGAATGTGTGGAATACACTGAGAGTCTTGCCCCACCTGTGCCAGGCTGGCTAGTATGTCCTGTGGCCACATGGAAGAGCAGAGCGCAGAGAAAGGTCCCCCAGGGGTGGGGGTTAAACCCCCCGACCCCCGTCGTTGACGACTCAATCGTGAACACATCTCGTCATCTTCATCTTCAGAAAGGGTCTCAGCTGCAATTTGACAAAAAAACCAAAACCAAGCATACTGGGTTCAGAAAAACCAGTGTGAAAAACAGGTCCCTATATTAAAACTGACCAACCCTCTACACTAGGTATTAAAACAGTCCAACCTGATTAATCCTAATCCTCCTCGATCGGTTTTGGAAGATTTCGGAGGATTGAGGGTGAATGGCAAAAGTGCATGGCTGATTGCAAAGGATGCCATGCATGAAGGTCGTGGATTAGACCTTGTGTTGTTTTTGCTTAGTCAAGCACACGTTTAGCCCATTATTTCTTTTGAAACCACACAACTCAAGAATGCCATCGGCAAAGCCTCAACATAATGAGGGGAATTGCCGGAGAATTTTGAAGGATTGAGGCAGTAGGCACACCTCCAAATAACATTGTCAAGAAATTTTGGAGGATTGAGGCTGAATGCAATTATTTCATGTCGAAAAATCGGAGGATTCTGGAGTATTGAGGCTGATTCCTATTAAAAAGGCCTAGGGGGTTAGAGTTAATAAACAGCACTGTTAATACAACATTGAACATTTTGCATAACAATGAAATGTTCAGGCCCCAATCCCTTGTTTTTCATTGTTTTTATGCCTGGTAATAACGAGGTTCCTGTTTTAACAAGAAAATCTGCAAAGTTCTGCTATACCCACAAATACTTCAGTGAATGTATTGTACTGGCAAAAGACTATTCTACAGTTGGGTAATTCTAGAAATTAGGGGTCCATTTTTTTTCGTGTCCCTGTCACATCTGACATATGATTTTGTAAGTTCAGAACACATTTTCTAATTTCCGAGGAATTGAGGAATTAATGCAAATTACCTGCCAAACAAATAGTAACAGTTTGAGATCAATTCCGGTGATATTTCCATGTCAAATAACAAAGGTCAGATGTAACAGGGACACAAAAATGTCACACTTTTGGACCCCTATTTTCTGGAATTACCCAGTTGCAAATCTGCATGGCCAAGCTAACGCAGAGTGTGGAACACACAGACTACGCTGCGACTACTGCAAGGCTTTTCTCCAGTGTCCTGACTCCATCCTGGGCAAGCTACAAGGCTTGTACAAGCGCTTTCAGTCCATCCCATTCATTTGGACAAATCAAGACTCTGTGAGGCTACAGCAGCATCACATAATCCTTTGGAGCTTTTCTGGACGTTGATTAACTACCGGTAGATTTACAAGTGACAGAAGATAAAAAGATTTGTACTCAGCTGAGTAAAAGCGGTGGCACCAAGTACTGTACCGTACTTTAGGGTGAGGCAGGATTAGAAAATGAAAGTCTTTTTGTGGCCAATATCTGCGGCATACTTCCCTTGAGTTAATTCAACCATGCAGACACCTTAGCAACGCATCCTTGTTACTCTGCACTCAAGCCTGTGCAGTACGTAGCTAGTTCAGTCTTGCTTTCCTATATTTACACAAGTCATACATGAATATATGTACGAGGTCCGTGCTACCGGCTGCCTGAAAATTCTATAAAGTCAACATTGACATGATGGGTCACTTATTACTTTTGGGGGGGGGGCAGATGGGGAGGATGGGGGTGCTACCAGTGGGGAAAGGGAAGGCACTTGGACCATGGTATGTCCCGTGGGATGAAAAGCAAGACAGCTATCTTAACTCATCTTCAACACACTGGTAAGTTACATGTACAACTATACACATACATAAACACACAAACTGCAATGTAGCTGCAACCTTGTCACACTTTCAAAGCTGGGTGGTTCAGTAGGGTCCATCACAATTTTAACTTTTGTTCTTGAATGCCACAGGGGCTCCTCAAGAAGAGACAAATTTCTTCAGAATCGTGGCTCGATGATGTGTTTTCCTTCCTACATGTATAATGTACAGTGCCACAGTTCCAATTCAAGAAAACTTAAGTTTGAACTCAGATTACATGTACATTAAATCAAATCAAAATTGAACAAGTATTTTGTTGTCTTCCTGGGGTAAAAGATTGAATTTAAGGAAATTCAGAAAGGCTACTATTGAAATGATACCCTCTTATTCCTTCCCTCATAAAATAACTAATTTACATTTAAAGCTACCGTACATGTAGACTCCATAAAAAAATAACTGATGTTAGAATTTACTTACAGTCACACCAGCAAGGAAATGGTGACAAACCCATGTTCAATTTTATCAAACACAAGGAGGGAGGATTTCAGGAAAACAGCACAGGCAAGCACAGCCCAAAGAATACACCGGCTCAACTTCTGACTCTCATAAACTGTTTGATGGTGTTAATAACCCGCCACCACTTAAAAAGGCAGGAGCTTTCAAAGGTGTGTGGTATGCCGGTAAAAGAGTGCATTTCAATAGCTTCTTTGTGGTTGTATTTTTTCAAATGCAGTTTTTAGGTACATGTATGTTACCCACCTTTCTTTTTTTTTTCTCCTTTTTTTTCCCTTGGCAGAACCTTATTTGGGGAAGTAATTTACCCATTCTTCACAGCAAGCAGACCAGAACTTGGATCATTTCAAAATTTGGGTCATGAACCATACAGCCTACGAATTTACCTTCGCCTCAAAGGGCAAGTTGGTTGGGAACATTACTGCGGTTCTCTTTTGCTAATGTTGACACTTGATAGCCTGCAAATTGTTAAGTTCCAGGCAATGCGTGTTCTGTAAAGCAACTACACAATGTTGAAAGCCTACAATACTGGGGTGTGATCAGAGTGGCATAATGTGGTGTAAAAGCTATCAAAGACGCATTCCATCGGGAGTTTTAACAGACAAACTGTGTATGGATATTCATACCAACGCATTATTTGCACAATTCTGACGAAGGCCAACAATAGTATAATGCTAGCAAAATGGCACTTTCCATATTTGCGTATGATATAATAATACCAATAGTATAATATAATAGTACCAATATACTGGTGGGGATGCTGTGCGCACACATACCGCAAGGCGAAATGTTAACAAACATAATTAGACTATAGGGTTGGACAATTTGTGTGCCTCATCCCTTCTGAATGATCCAAGACCACCATTGCCCAGCGTTTGCAACATTGCCAATAAAAGTAATGTACGTGTACATGTACCAGTTCATGGCTTGTGGCTAACACCCCTGAACAACCATAGTGACGACTTGGACGGACCACCAATATAGGGTTGGATAGCACAATCAGTCAGTTACCAGAACACAAGCAGTGTTTCGGAGGTCACAGGTTCCAATCCCTCGCTATTCAATTTCTTTGTGTATCTTTATAACTATTTTAACGGGGTTCGAAATACCCACTAGATGCGCTAAAAAGGCAATTGATTATAATGTCAGTAATTTGAATGTCTGTTTCTGAAACCAGAACAAACCTGGAAGCCGAGTGTGTTTTTCCCATCGTATTTGTCCACAGAAGTACATGCACATATGTACATACATATTCTGAAAATTTTGTTAAAGAAGAAATTATGTGAGCTAATTTTCACAGAGAAAAAAGGCACACGCACTGTACATGTACAAGCATTTGGTATTACATACATTGTACATGTTTAACTAAACAGATGGCTCATTTCTTTTTATTGTTTTTATTGATTCAGACGTGCATCAACAGAAAAACAAAACATTCTGGAGTCAGGGTGGGATAAGCAATGAGTGCATTTTTTAATTCTTAAAACCGTTAACGGCGAATTGTACAAGCACACTACCGTACACACTGGTACGTAGAGGTTCCATGTGCGTCACTACCATTGTTTGTTCTCCATCTTTGTTACATCCCCTACGCTACTTGCTCTGCATATTTCGGACTGTAAATAGTGTAATAATTGAACAAGAAAAAACTGAAAGTATTGCACAATTTAGTGTGGATTACGTCGAGAAACTTACAATCTACCGTTGATTACAGTGTTTGCAAAAGCCACAAGAATGAGGAACTGAATGGGTAAATTATGCCAGTTTCCTAGTCAACAAGGTCAGGTGACTGATTTTCACTGTGCAATTTTACAAGCGCACGCATAGGCCTTGCTCTACATGTACAAATCCAGAAGGACGGAGCAAAACGTGCTGGTACCGAAAAGCAGCAACTCATTCTACATCACACTCGTCAAAGTTTCCACGTACCGTCGTTAATTGTTTGAAAGTGGGAAGGAATGGATAATTTCTAATGGATTAATAACATTTTGAATGCAAAACAAGATCAAACTAATCTAAATTAACACAGCAAATAACATAAAAATCTTGATAGTTCATATTTTATCCAAGTTTTGAAGTCTGTAAAATTTACCAAATGAAGGTAAACTAATTGTCAGCAATTCTTTGTGAAATTTTTAACACGCCAATACGGGTGATTCACAATAGTGCGCCTCAAAGAGTTTGCAACGCGTTGGCCATATCACAAAGCGCGAAATTTGTCGACTTTTTCAAATGCACATTGGGTCGACACATTTCGCGCACTGTGATAGGCCAACGCGTTGCAAACTCTTGGAGGTGCACTGTTGTGAAATGTCTGTATTCTTTGTGAAATTTTTAACATGCATCATTTGGGTACATGTACATGTATGGTTATTGGTACGGTAATTGTACATGTACTCGTACATGTTCACGGTACTCTCTCCATCTCAGCAATGGTTAGAGACTGCCCATTTACTCCCAACAAAACTGTTGAAACTAACACCCCTTTGGTGGTATCCAAAGCCATAATCCATTGTAGCCAACAGTTTTGGAAGGAACTGAGAAAAATTTGTGTAATTTATCACTAATAAAGATGTATAAAAATGGGGGTTGTAAATTTTGTGCAAGTCAAAATATTGTCTGTTTTTGCTTGTCTTCAGGATGTGTGGGTACAGTACCATGTACATATTACATTAAATTAGAAATTGGAGATTTTTAAGGTTAACATCAACAGTGCGTCTTAAAAAAAGACTAAAACCTGGGATATATCTCAGGTTTTCTTCTTTTATTCCCAAACATTGGTAGCCATCAATGTTTGTTGTAGTCAATGAAATTTCATGAAAGTTAAGCTGCTACAATACGTAATGAATGTCTTCATGTCATTTTTTTTCTCTCATAAAAATCAACCAAGAACCTTGCCCAGATACAATGTACATGCAACTGCAAACATATTCTTTGCCAAATTTTTAACCGGTGATGGACTGGCTCAGTTCCAATATACACATATGCTAAATAGTACTGCTTGAGGGAACAAAGCCATAATATCCACATCCAGCGATGCGTATATGACCCAGCAAAGCATTCATAGGAATGAAGGGGTTTCCTGCAAATGAAAGCCACTGATCGGAGGTTTTGACGTCATGCGGAGGCGGCAAACACTCGCACAAGGTACATGCTGTACATGTACATGTAATGGCACGATGTACATGTATGTTGCCACAGAGGAGAGAGTTAAGCTCATGTACAATGTACAGGTACATGTAGAAGGCCTTGAGTCATTATTACTGCCATCCCTTCTCTCTGTAGACATGGTAGATTAGTCCTCTATCTACACATACATGTAGATGCAACGCAACAACCAGACAGGAGGATAATGCAGGCCTATAATTATTTAGATGAAACATATGGTGTACTGTAGTTAAATTAGGTTTTTTTATTGGCAACAACCGGGAATGCACAAAAATACATGTACATGTACCTGTACATGTACAACACCCTCTACATACATGTAGTGTGCATACAGACCTGTGCATGTACATGTTAATGTCTGGTGCATCATGCATATACATGTATATGTACATGTACATCAAAGAGAAATGTTTTTAATGACATGTAGAATTTCTTCTGTTTTCGTACCACCGGAGGAGCATGGATACTCTGAATTCTTTTTATATCCACACATGCACAAACAAGTAAATGTTCTAATATGGAATTCTCCTCCCCCCCCCGCGCATTCTGGTTTTTGCATCATAACGGGATAAGATTAATGTGTAATAAGACGCATGCACAAGGGTGAGGCCCACTGATTCAGTAGGGTAAACTGTGCTGAATTTATAGCCAAGGAACTTCAAGTGACTGCACTCGAATGCTTTCAACAAGACTTGAACTTGAAGAGCCACATGTGCTGAACATGCAGTGATCTTCATTAGTGTCAGTGTGTACATGTACATTAACGTGCATTGCACACAACAACCTGTCCATCTGCTCTTCAAACGTTAAGAGCAAATTGACATCGCTGTTTGCCCTACAGAAATTTTTATTTCTTTTGTTTCTGAAGAACTACATACAACGTATAAAATTCCCTTCCTTACAGTGTGCGGAACTACCCACCCTAAACCATATAACCATGGTGAAATGAAAGCACATGTGATTCACAGCCGGTGTGAGTTTTTGGCTTAATGAAGCATGAATAAAAATATGATGATAGCTACAACAGACAGACTTACAGTGCTTGTAAATCCCATGCCTTTCAGTCTACCCATTCATGTACAAGTACACCAAAGAAAAACCCTATCTGGATTGAAAAGCATCATTCCATCATATTTCTGTGGCCAAGAGTTGCCAGCCATGCATACAAGAACACCATGCACGGTATCTTACACTCACAAACAATCATTCCCTCGCATAGCAAGAATGTACATGTACGTATCGGTATGCTAGAAACAGTGTTATATTGAGCACATTATTTTCTGTATCAAAATCTAAGATGACGGTGTCTCCTCTCGATGTGACAGATGAGTAGGCAGACATGCCATTTGCCGACAGACTTCATGTGAGAATGAAGACAGATCCGTGATACACACCGGCCACAGATGCTGCAAGGGAACAAACCCACAGCAAAGGAACTCTGTTTCCTTTTCTCCTTCTTTGCCTGAATGGCAGCAGCTCTGTTGGCTTCAAAGGCCTTTGTGCCTTGTCTACAATGGTGTCTCCAAAGAGCTCTGTCCTAGGCAGTTGCTTCAACGGTACATTTCTAATGTACATGCATACACTGTACATAACCCGTGACACACCGCTGCAATGTCTGAACTCTGTATGAAATTGTACATGTACACAGCAGCATACTGGTACATGTAGGCAGTTATGCCCTATGTACATAATGGGTGCCCTGAGGGTCATTATCCTCCAATGTTGCTGGGTGATAAATCTGCTTACATGTAGGCCCATATACAATGACATTTAATAACAGAGTACATGTACATGTATCTCTCTTCCAAAAAAGAGGGACAGCAAAGTCATGTCCATGCATGTAATTTACCTCCTCACAGTCAGAACAAGCAGCAGGTAACCAATGCACACAGCGCTGATGGTATCTTCCTTGATGGAGGGGCCAAATGCCATATGTAAAATTCACAAGCCAAATTTTGTTGCTTAAATTTTCACCTCACGTTGGCCCTAAATGAGTAACAACGTCTGGAAATACATGTACAGTACAGTTCTGCATCTACCCAGATGAAAAAACAACCTGGCATTTTGAAGATTTAAATACAGAATTTTGTACAGTACTGTGGATAGGGCCTGGCACATGATTTTATTCATTTACTGAGTACTGCTGAAATTCTTTCTTCTCAGAACTGTAAGAAACTATACTGTTTCCATTGTTAATGCTTGTTTGTTGAATATTGAAGAAATCTTGAAAGTTTACATAAATTTCTTCAGTATTTGTACAATTAGACATATTTTGGATTCATTTACATTGCTTTTTCTTAAAACAATGTTTAAATCAAAATAGCGACAGCCACTTTAATTTTGGCACGAACCGCAGATTGTTTGATTTTCGTTCATACTATTTCACCTTCAAGTTATTTCTGAGGTACCCCTTTATGACGAAGATTCATTCCTACCGTTTCGTCTTTGCTCCCACAGAATAAACCAACACAGCTGAGATGTCTTGTGGTTGCTGACTGCCTCTATCTACTCGGCACAAAATCCAGAAGAATCACATATCCTCAGCAAATTCTCATTTTTGCTTTCAAGACCCAAGTCAAAATATTACGGGAAGGTGTATTAACTACCTGCAATGTGAACACTGAACAAATTCTGGTCATTTGTCTTAACGTGAGTTAATTTGAATGAATGAGGACATGTGCAGGCTTGCATGCACAGCATAAAATCTTGCTGATTTTGTGCACATGCACAAGCTACAGAATCAAGAGCCGACACCACAGACATTACCCTCAGTAATGTTTGATTTTTCATTACAAGACCCACATCGGAAAATTGAGGGAAAGACCTTGCTCATTGCATTTTTGGTCAATCGACACGACTGACTTTCAATTTGTGCAACCTTGCACACACTGCAAGCGTATGGACCTTACAATTTGCTTGTTGAGCTCGCATATTAACCAGAGAAAATCGCCAGATGAAGAAAAACTATTGACTGGGTGGTAAATGTTTCATTTTGTTAATTTTCCAAACAAGTTTGAAGTGTATCTGCGTTCCGAATTTCAATGTTTTGGTTTACAAATTTGATGAAATTGGTTGTCAAATAATTTATGGTGAAAACATATTGGCAGGGTGATCATATTTTAATTAATTTTAATGAAAAAAACCCAAACCAATTTACAAAAAAAATGAATTACTGGTCATGATGCATGCCAAAATTTCTCTGTTTTACTTAAGAAAACTAACATGCAGTGACCAAATAAGTTCCGCCATGGTAATTTAACTTACATTTATAATCTACATATTAAGTGCACGTCACCATGATAATGCGAGAACATTGGGCCCATGAACATGATGAAGGCGTACATGTACATCTACACGTAGGCTTAGTGACTGCTAACATGAATGTGAACATTATGGGACAAAAATCGTAAAGTTGAAACTAAAGGATGTCACACAAGTATTTGACATCAATATTCAATACTGGCCTACTAAATTTGTATCATAGAGCTGTGGGTACACTTCAAAGCTAGGTCAGATATGATAGCAATTAGCATGGAGCATGGAAGAAGGAAAAGATGGAGCAACCAAATCAACCAAAGTGCTACGCCAGATGCGAACTGCATCTTCGCTGCTCCTCCATGTCCTCTGCCATCTGCAGAGCAGACCAAGTCTCTTGGTGCAGCACAGTGACATTTTGCCCTTCCCTAGCCCTCGTCTTGTTTTGGTGCCAGCTTTCGACCCATTTGGGGGACTTACCGTGCACATGGCCACCCGTGTAGCCTTCTGTCGAACGGCCCCCGAACATAGACCTTATGTCCATCACCTTTAGCCCGCAAAATCAGACGGTAAACACGGAGGAGCAGGGTGGGACGACGGTGGTGAAATCTACCCTGACGTGATGTTATCGCCATTCGGGCCGGGATCCGTCAATGAATGCTATGCACGTTCCGTACCCGTATCAAACTGCTTCGAGAGCCAAGCTCGTACGTACGCACGTATGCTGTAACCAGCACACCATGCATACGTCACTGCACTACTAATGTACACAACTGGCTAGAATGAACTACACGTACATAAATATGAAGGTGAGGCGCCATTCATGTTGTTTGCGCAAATGTCACTTTTTTTTCTAACTTGTACTTGGTGTCCTACATTTTTGTGGGAGGCGTGTGTGGGACGTGACGAGGGGGGCGTGACGGGAACATGTTAGATCGACTGGATCTCCTGTTTGCTTGGATTACACTAAATTATTTCAAAACAGTAATTTAGATGATTGGAAGCAAGTTTCAAATTATGGTGTTTTTTTATTTCTCAGACATGCACATGGAAAAATTAGTGGTTTTTCCTTTGAGATCCAGACATTTGATGGGTTCAGCATACAAACAACCTCAGAGATGATGAATTACTCTCGTAACTGACAAGATTTGCAGGTTAACTGTCACTTTGCATTTGTTATTTGCAGGCACCTTTAAATTTGTCCAGATAAATAATTATCACTGAACTCATAATAAAAGACGGGGCAAAATAACAAAGGGGACAAACACGAACAGGGTCTCGGGAAACAAAAATAAAATTTTTATTGAGAATTCACACAGTGAAAAATAAGAGTTTAGTTAGTTGCTGCGAAGATGACATAGTTTAGAGGGAATGTTAGAAATGTAGGAATTTCTCACCAACAATATCTACAATCATTTTATTATGCAAATTTAAGATCAATGCATAGATTTTTAAAAATTTAAGGATGGAATATCTTCAAAAATCAAACATGTAAAGATAATGCTGAGGTTTGGCCTGCTGTACTATCTACAACTTCTTTTATCTGCTCAAATATACATAAACCGACTATATAATGTTGCATAAAGATTTTAAAAATCACAGTGTGTAAATATGAGAAAGGTTTAAGAACAGTCATACGTTCAAATGCAGCAACAGGATTATAGTGCATCAGTGCTCATTGGTTGAAAATAAGCCAATCTAATACAACGTCAAATCTTTGCAAGGGTGGTTTTTCAGTGACACCATTATGTGTATTTTGAGGACTGTTTCAATATTCACACATCAAGTAAGTCTGAGAATAAGATAACGACGCAGCATGTACAACTATCTTAAAAATAAAACAAAATTCAAGGCTGAATCTCGACACCTTTTTTTCAAATGAGGAGATATGACTATTTCTGACTAAAAAGTTACAAACTAGAATTTTGTGCAAAGAATGACCTCTGACCGAGATCAAGGCATTTCAGAAAGAAAAGATTCCACCCACAATGCATTTTATGTAGAAGAGCTACATTTCAGAGAAATTTTAAATGGAGAGTGATGTTTGAATAAATCTGCAAACCGTTCTTATCTTCCTTGACAAGACAGCAAAAATCAGACCCTACACATGTACACGTACGACACCAAACTTCGAAAATAAATTCTGAATAAACTTACACCAGAAATTACTCTCTCAATCTACGGCTCTAACTCTAGCAGTCCTCAATCCTCCAATTTTAACATGACTTAACTTGAGATTACACAATGTCCCAGTGAAACTCTTCCTGCCAGTATGTATGCAATATGATTTGTGCTATCAATTGATAGAAATCTCGGACTTAAAAGAAGTAAAAATTTTCCACCGCTTTCTCTTTTTTGGCGTTGGTTGTGCTCCAAGTCAGTAAACATTTACATGGTGGAAGAAATCCATAGACTACATTTACAATTCAGAGAGCTAAATAGTATTACTCTTTAAACATCTGGACTATCTTAAAATATGGAACTTGTGTTGACTGCTACATATGGACAAAGCACTTAAAGTCATAATTAAACCTATTTTCAGCCTCTTGGAAGTTCAATAAAAATATTAAATACCTACAGTTGGTTCAATCCTGATACTGCTGCACAGATCCAGTTCCATGCAGCTCCTGTGACAAACCTCATTTATGTGGAGTTATTAAGCACAGAAAATATATGCTTAGTAATGACAAGCACCAGTTAAAATGCCATGTGAATCACACTGCTTGTGAACTGTTTCCGGTATTTTTTATTTTTGGTTTGTTGCTAAGCAGCTTGATCTACACAATTGGATCCACTGAGGACTCGGCCCGGATGCTGTCCAGAAAACTCATCCCTGTACTGCTCATGCGCTCCTGCTGTTCCTTGAAAGATCTCTTCCTCTCCTAAAATATGAAAAAAAGTGGTAGGACGTATGATCAGAAAGAATCACAACTGCCGTTTTCTGATTTCAGTTTCTCAGAAAATGAAAAAAAGGGACTCAAGAGCAATGGCAGGGGACCAATTTTCAAAGTGTTTGGGGCCCATTTATGACACCATCAGGCATGAACCATTACAGAAGCCATTACCCCCCCTGTCAAAAAAGTCGGGGGGGCCTTCCACCGCCACTGCCCCAGAAGTGTTTCACTACATTCACCATCTCAAAAACAGCTTGTAAGACAGACAAACATACAAAGTTCTGTGAAAGCTCCTCATATGTGATCCCCCCAATGGGTAACTTAGAATTCACCAGGAAAAATATGTTGAGTTTATAATCTTCCACAATGTTAATCTCAATCGGCTGGCAAATATACAGTCTGGAATGCATTAAAGTGCTGCGAAAAAATTACACGTCAGATTTGGGTGGATATGAGACAGTCAGAGATGAAATGAAACCATGAACTCACCAGGACAGCATGTCTCTGTTCTTCTTTGTGCTTTGCTGCAACGCTGTCTGGCTTATCCTCTTCTTCAGATGACTGTTGGCCATCCTGAGAGAACACAATTGGACAAATACCTTGTAATTTTGGTCAGAGGGTCATTATCTGTGATTACTGCGCAAGTTCCGATATGGGCGATTCACAATAGTGCGCCTCCAAGAGTCTGCAACGCGTTGGCCAATCACAATGCGCGAAATCTGTCGACCCTTTCATAATGCGCATTGGGTCGACAGATTTCGCGAACTGTGATTGGTCAATGCGTCACAAGCTCTTGGAGGCGCACTATTGTGAAACGCCCATATACTGAGTGAGCCCCTGATATTGTAACAACCCCGCTGGGATCTGCAATTTGTAATTATTGTATCAGTCTTGTGTAAATAGCTTTTGTTGGGGAGGAGGGGGGGAGGTACTGATATAAAATCGACAGCTCCGTTGATTAAATTTCTTGTGTATTCAGGGAAACATATTCAAAATGACTTTAATCCAAACTTCATGAAGAGATTTACAGATAATAAAGTTGAATGATTCTCAAGTTTAAACGTTTGTCTGAAAAATCCAAGGAGGGATGTATAAACAACTTCCTACATTTTAGCACAGATTGCATAATCACTCCACAAACTGTACAATGTCCCATACAGAAGACTGCCTTTTATATTACATGCATAAATACTTCAGACAATCTCCCAATTCAACATCATGCCACTTGACCGTGTATTAACATTTGATAATGCATGCTGAGAAGTGATAATGCCTGCTGGGTAAATACAAGACAGCTTAATCGATTCTGATTGGTCGAGGGTATGTCTCCATGCGGCTCAAGAGTGTGCCCCAAGTCCATATTAGGAGATTGTTTTGGACAAGCATAAAATAAAATGGACAGGGGTGTTTGGGAAAAGGAAGTAGAAATTCTTCAATAAAATCATGGGAATTCTGTCATATATTGACTTCTTTTGACTCTCTGACTAAAAATGGTATTTATGAATTGGAATAAATATGTGCTTGGCTGGTCTTAAACGTTAGTTAAGACCGGCTCAGGACACTGAGTGCCATAACATCCTTCCCTGTGGCTCGGGGATGAGTCGCCTCCATTCTCCTTAGCCAGTCATAAATGCATGTTTAAGACCGGCCAAGCACATATTTATTCCTGTAATATGGTTTGTTAATGTTAATGATCGACTGCTTAGATTATCAAAGTGTGCTTTAAAGCATTTCACAGAATGACAGGCGGTGCAAGGGTTAAGAAGGACCAGCAGGAATAGACAAGACCCAACGATCAAATTTCAAACGCAGATGGGGCGCAATTTCAAATTGACAATAGACTACTAACTCTTGGAGCATGGTTTCATGGAAAATGATTTCACTAAACATTGAAATGGAAAAAACAAAAATCAACATATCTGTTTGACAGTGAATGCAGACTTCAGAGAATAGCAAAGTAGTTACCAACATGCAACTGACGAGCATGCAGGTACAAATTTATCAAAGATACGTATTAGACACAAATAGAACCTCACTTTCTGAAACATATGAAATGATACGCATGTATGCTCATGAGTCCATGCTATGTACAAAATGTGCATGACCTGATCCCACAAAATGAGTCTTGAGTACATTAAGTCAATTATGCCTTTTCTCATAAGAGTACATGAATTTTGATATGGAGGAAAAGTTCCTTTTTGTTGTCACTGTGCAGGAATTGTTTCGGGGCTTGTTATTCCAAAACAGTCCTGGCGACTTATGACTGATTTTGTGCTGGTATGACCACAGATGTGTGGCCAGGCAAGTTTTGCAGAGGTTGCAAGTTATTTCTTCAAATGGAAAGAAGAACCACCCAAAGCAATCAGCTGTCTAGCTACAAGCTCTTTGAAATGCTCTTGAGATCACACATTCAACTATTTTGAAATTGTGAGCAAGCAGATCACATCATAACAAAAAGACAGCCTTTGGCAAAAAAGAATTATGTTGCTGTAATGCGTTTACAGCACGCTTCTCTAGAATTCTCAAGAACGTCCAGATTTCCCCGCTATGATGAAATGAAGTCCTATAAAAAGCAGGTGGATTAATGAACAATGGAGACATAAAGACAAAGCCAGAGTTTGTTTAATAACACCATGGATGACAGGAGGACGCCTGTTAACGTGGCCAAAATGCATAGGCGTACCTTATCTGTGTCTTTCTCACTATCGGGGTCAGAGGTAGAGAGGGAACGCCGGTTCTGAGAACCCATGCTGGGGGATCTGTGGACACCACAAACAGAAGTTTTGGGGGGTTTGCTTTGTCATATTTAACTGACCTTTTTCTAGTCTTCCTCTCTTTTTAAACTTTTTGCAGTCTAAGTTGACTTGGCGTTAGGCACAACAATGCTTGATTTCAATTTTCTCGGTTGAGACAACTTGTCTTGTGCAAGCCTACAAGAACAAGGTACTCCGCAACCAAACGCCCTTTGACAGTTCCATAAATCCTCACTTTCTTATATAGAATAGGAAGTTACAGGCATTAGCACTGCAAAATGCTTCCCAACTTTTGAACCGCATTCAGTGCACTGAGATCAAGCTGTGCTCAAGGATGTAAAGAAGACACTGTGATCCAAAAAGGTTTGTTCCCCCAACTCTCTAGAAGCACAGAAGCTCAATAAATGTATTCCCAATTTATCAGCTTGCTTAAAGCCTCACACTGAACGTTAAAAAGATCGTGTAATTTTCAAAGGCACTAACCGGCTTCTAAGCATGGCTAGTGAACTGTCCTCTCTCGTCAGTTCTCTCTGACATGACCTCAGAAAGGTCATGACCTCGTCGTGCTGGTATTCCTCAGCTAGGTCATAAGCTGTACGGCCCATATTGTCAATGACATCTAATGGAGCATTGTTGGCAACTAACCACTTTGTACATTCCAGATGACCACTGGGGGAAAAAATAATCCAGAAACTGAGTTGAATATTGGGTTATAAATCTACAACACATACATACAAACAGATGAAGTTTGGCATTCTTCTTCCTAGTAATTCTCATTAAGGGAAAAAATCACGTGAAAAACAATAAACGGTATAATTTATGCCAACGGCTGAATGATGGGATTTTACAACTTAGGCTGACAAGAGTTGTTTGAGTGTAAATATTCTGCACATCGGCAAATCGATCTAACTAGAGCACACGCCTGAGCTTGCCTCTGTCTCTAGGACCTACCTCATTGCTGCCATGTGTAATGGCGTCTGCTCATCCACCGTGCGGCAGTCCACTGTCATTCCCATTGCTGCCAACAGCTTGACCACAGCCACATGCCCATTCATTGCTCCCATGTGCATCGCTGTGTACCCTGTTGGTGTGAGGTCGTTGATGCTGGCATCATTGGATGACAGATACTTGACGATGTCCAGCCTGCCGTTGGCAGAGGCTACGTGCAGGGGTGTCCAGCCCCTTTCGTCTGGGGAGCTGCAGAGAATTGATCAAAAATTGGAAAATTTACTCCATGAGTTTTCAAATTTCGACATGTGACTGCACAGAAATGATTTCAGAGCACAATTTACTAAGGGATTTTTGGAGCATGAAGAATTGAACATGTTTCATTCTCCAGAACTGGGGTTCCACTACGTTTTCTGATATGTTAGGATTATTCCTGACTTGTGGCGCCTTTACGCTGATGCATTTTCGAAATGCTTCATAGTTGCATAAGCAATCTGCAGAGTGTTGACTGAAATTAAACAGGTTTAAAAGGCATTAAAAAAATGACCAGAAAATGCAAGAATGGATAGGCGGCCTAACTCTAAACTTTCACACTATTTAGGGAGTACAGGAACAATACTTGGAAAGCAAGACACAATCTAAATTGGCAAAGTACCACTGTCTTCATATAGCTCCTGTGTATAGGTAACAGAAAATGTTTTGTAAGCTGAAGTGGATTACCAGCCAAAAAGCCATTCGACATGTGCTGCCTACGAATGGTTCTCACTAGGTTGTTGCTAAGCACGGACATTTCTTAAGAAAATAAGCACTTGTCTAAGTTGGCAGTCACTTACTTGATGAGTTCAGCATTGTGCTGTGTCAGCTTCTTGATTCTCTCCAAGTCTCCCTTCTTGCAGCTCTGGTGGATGGACGGTCCAAGGAGCAAGGATTCCTCTTCCTCTCGCCTCTTCTCTTCCTCCTCCACCCTGGCCGCCTCCTGTTGCTCTTTCTGCTGCTCTTTCATCTTCAACGCAGCCTGCACGAAAGGAGTAATTTATGAACGTCACAGAAAAGGCAGGCCATTTTTTTTTATTGTGAATGTTGTTCTTGCATTTATTTTTCTAATCTCTCATTGAGCACAGACTGGCATGATTCATCCAAATTTGCGAGGGAGAATTTTTCTTGAGGAAGATCAGCTTCAACTTTAAAACCCCCAATTCTTCCACATATCTGTTCAGGGCAATATCCAGACTGGGGGTGGGAGTAGGGCTATAGGATCCTGGCCTGGTGCTTATAGCATCCACTAATGGATTCAAACTGTGACCACTGGGTAAGATAGTGATATACTGCAGTTCTGAAGCATCTTGACCCTCTCAGTTGCTGCACACTCTCAGCAGGACAGGACTTCCCCTGTAAGAATAAACAATTACCTTGAAGCCACTCATATAATCAGTGTTCTCCTTGTCTTCTACCCTGGTTGAGTCTCTGTCCTCTGTTTCTTTGGCTTCTGGTTTTGGCACATCCTTTGGATCAGTCATATGACTGCTATCTGATTTCCTGGAGACACTGTCTGATTGGGATGCGCTCCCTCGTGATGGTGCATCATCATTTTCATCACTGCTGTCATCATCATCACTACTGGCTGTCCTGTTCTCCTTGTGTGATGATGCAGCATCGGAAGCCTCCTCTTTGGGGAGATGTTCGGTGTTCTCCTCCTTGGGTCCCTTGCTGCTGCGATCCCTATACCGTCCACTATGGATGGACCCATTTTTGCTCTCCCCATCGGCCTTGCGCTTGTCAGACGAACTACCGCTTCCTGAGCTGCTTCCAGTATCGCTTCCACTTCCGGAGCTACTTCCAGATCTGGATCCACTGGAACCACTTCCACTATCACTGTCATCATCATTGTCGGAATCAGTCCGGGAAGTCCTATCACTCTGCTCGGAATCCGTATCCGTGTCCGTGTCTGACTCGGTACCCGTGGTGGTCACCGGTGTCCTGTCCCTCCTACGGGACTTCCCCTTGCCTTTGCCCTTCTTGCTCTTCTTGCGTCGGTGTTTCCTCCTCTGTCGGGAACCATCAGAGCGGTCGGCTTGGCTGGCGTCACTGGGGTACTTCTTGGCTTGGGGGCTGGTGCGGACAAAGTGGCCGTCCAAGGCGGTGACCTGGTTCAGGTGGAGGTCAGTGTCCGTAAAGGCACTGCTGTCGGGACTCTTCTCCACGAAGTCACTGTGGTCAGGTTCGGATTGGGAACTGGAAGACACATCTGATTCACCAAAAGTTAAACAGAAAAAGCTCTCATCAAAACTAAAATAAAGAAAACAAATTACCTGAAATCTTACATTATTAAATGAAATTTGAGAACCCTAATGCCAGTGTCAAATCTTCAAATTTGCTTAAAAGTTGTTCCGACAACTTTCCTACATTTGCTAAGGGAATGAGATATTTTGGTATGGGAAGTTCCAAACTAAGTCTTAGCCCTGTAAACCCTGAAAGCTCTATCAATGTTCTTAGATATGAACTTTATCACTGCACATGCATGACTCGTGAACCAGCCTGAACTCGAATAACAAGTACTCTACCCATGATGATGTTGGTAACTGGTACAGTCCGGACGGTCTGTCCGTCTTCATCTTGAGCCGACAGCCATCGTTCACACAGGAATTCGTAGGTGACGTCATCGCCATACTCACGGATCATCACCTTGTCCAGAAACCAACCACACCCTACAGGACAAAGAGAGTCATTGAAATGTTAGTAAAAGGAATAAACACTGTGAATAGAAAGGAAGCTGAGCGGATGATACGCATCAGTTTGCGAGAGAGAAGTCAATAAATCCTGAAGAGTAGGACAGAAAAAATTGGAACCACAAATAAGAACTCGTAGGGATACAGGAAATAATCTGGTTGAGTGGTAATATGCTTTACACGTCACATATAAATTGCAAGGTGTACATCAGAAACATCTTCAAGCAAGAAACACCTACCAAGTTCTCTTCTGTCATGACCAATGCATATACATTCCATCTTGCCAACATAGTAGGACTCCACTTTAAAGACGTCAATCTTAAAAGAAAGGAAAACAATTACGTAAGTACAGATATGACACTCACCAAATTTGATTGGGAAATATAATTTAATCTTTAAGAGCACAATAATTTCAAAGTCTAAACATCTCTGCTGTGTGGCAAAGTTTTTCTGAAGTGGCGCAAGTTTTCAGCACCGAGCTCGAAGCACTTTTTTCCTCACTTGTAGTACCGTTTTGGCAAGATTTAAACGATTGCCGACCTACCTGCCCCTTCTGGAACTTGACCTTTTTGCCATCCTTGGTGTCCTTGGACTGTTTCAGCCTGATCTTGCCTGTATTGCCCTTCTCGCCGTAGAGCGTCACGTGGACATCAGCCCTGGTGCTGGCGCCCAGCCGGTTACCAGTGTGAATGGACAGCTCGTAGATGGTCCTCTTGCCTGATTTGAGCCGAGGCCCGTGCTTCAGGAACTCATAGTCCTCTTGTGGTTCGGGTTCAGGCTCGGGGGGTGGGGGCGGAGATGGGGGCGGAGGTGGGGGATCAACCTAGATTGGAAAAAGGCATACAGTCAATTCCAGTATCTGGTGTGCACATCATTGAGGTGAAAATCTACTGCAAGGTGCAATTTATAGAAAACTTCCTCAAACCAGAAACCAACAACAGGGTAAATGAGCACAGGTTTGAGATTGGATTGGTGATGGAAGATGATGGAGAAGTGTTCCACTTTAAAGGTGCATCAGCTAAGCCAAGGATCAGATGGGAAATGAAAAAAACCAAAATTCAGCATCATGTTGACAGAGCTCCCAACCATTCAACTGACTGTAAATGCTAAGCCTGGAAAGTCTTCTCACAGTCCACAAAGGAGCTGGCCGAAAGTCTTTCTTATCCACATATCTGAGACTTGAGACTAGATTACTCAACAGCAGAATTGCTAGATCATAAATGGGAGGGAAACTGTTATACATGTACCTGCACACCCATTTCATTGGGTGGTTCAACTTGACACGCAGCGGAGGGCTGATGCACCTCAGTCTGCGTCTCCATGTTCATAATAGGCGTGGTCTGGCAGTACACTTCAGGGTACGTCTGAGTACCGGTGGTGGGCAGGGGTGGGACGGTCTGGGTGGAGGCCTCCGGCGGCGGGACCACGGTCTGCGTGGCCGAGGTGACCGGGGGCGGGGCAGTCTGGATGGCCATGTCAGCTTGGTAGGGGTCGGTCATGCTCTCCTCGGTGTTGGCCCGCCGGGTCTGCGTGTCCTTGGTGTTGTCCTGGTCCTCCACCGTCTGGCAGCTGATCTCGCGGCCGGTCTGAGTGGTGTTGTCGATGCTGTGCAGGACCTCGTCTCCGATGCTGACCGTGTCGCCTCCCGGCTCCTCTACCTCTTCCTCTTCTTCCTCCTCCTCTTCGTAGTCTTGAGGATCGTTCATATCCACCTTAGACATTTGGATGCTGCAGTCAAATTGATCGAATAATTAAAATCAGTAACTATAATTACTGGACACAATAATGAAAAACTATACAAGAGCCATCAAAGAAATTGTATTGTAATGAAACTCGACCACAGAAGCATCAATTCATTTTCTGTGAACCTGTAAGTAAATTGGGAGAAATTGTCCATTTCAAAATTTTCACTGAACTGATACTGTAGTTCCCTAAATGAGTATAACAATAACAAACCTTGCACACCAAATGCATGTATACCATGAATGTACTAGCAGTATTATATTTATAACCATCAAGCAATGAAAATGTGTTCATTTCATAACAAGCTGCTTTTGTGTTATGTAGATCATCAACTTTGGGTCTATATTCCCTTCACAAAGGTCGGGCTAAGTAAAAAGGAATTTTACTGGAAATTGGAAAATAGCCGAAAAGCGGGTATTCTAAAATGTCAGCTCAAGTTTAATCAAAACTCCTAAACAATTCAAAACTTTTAAAGGAATGCTGTAGATGAATCCCTTACATGCTGAACAGCAAACAAACTCTTACTTGAGCCATTCTGGTGACTGGTTCCTGCCAGAGCCTTTGACAGGAACTAAGATGTTCATGCCATTGTCAAGAGAATCCTCAAAGTCATCGTCATAGTCGTCAGGGTCTTGGTCCGACTCAGATGCCTCATAATGTCTTGGTTGCTGTGAGAGATCAAACAAAGGACGTGCTGTCTGGTAAAAGGATCCACTCTATTGTGTGCAATGGATGACGGTTGCCAAAAGAAGACCAAATTATACAGTACCAAATCAGGATTGAAAACTGAAATTGAACAACTGTTAGAAATTACCCACCTCCTTATAATTACTCATCAAAAAAGCACCAACAGTCGGCAGGGTGTGTTATCAAACTCTTGGAACTCATGACTGCCCAATAGTATAATTCATCCTTAACAATCAGTATAAATTTCACTCAAACAACTTATCATCTTTAAAATCCTGCTGCTTCTGTTTGCCTGACTGTGGAGGGTCTCTATTACAGTGCAGCCCCCAGAATGGGGCCCATACAGTCCAATGCTATTAGCATGTAAAGAGCATGCCTCTGGTTTACTGCACAAGTTAAGATGTTGATGAGTTTCACGGCAGTTTCTTGAAAAAATGCCTACAGGGTCATGGCTTGGTGACTTTTATAAGTGTTTCTACATTTCACAGTAATTAATTTAAAACGGTTAAATTATGCACAGCAGAGCAGTGAAGGCAGCTAATTGATATTTCTCAAACATGTGATTGCAAAAATTGGGTTTCTGAGATTATTTCCAATGCTACACTCACCTCCAAATGCAGTTTGATTCTCCTGCCGAGTGAATCGTAACCATATCGTGCTGTGCTGGGGGAAGTCTTGGCAGCAGATTTGGGCCTTGCATCTATGGCTGATCTGGGGCGTGTACGCTCCCCATAAGAAGACCTTGGTCGGGTCGGGCGATGTCCGTAAGTAGACTTCGGCCTTTCCGGTCGGGTCGGCCTGTGGCCATAGTCTTCGTGGCCGTTGTCAATCATGGGTAGGCTGGATCCTACGCCACTGTCTACCCTGAAATTCTGCAAAGACAAATGTCCAATTCATTTGCTTGGTTTCACTGCGGTGCAAGCAGCACGTTTACAGGTACATACGAGATTTCCAAACTTGACAGACGAGACTGGAATTCAAAAATTACCTTTCCTGAGTGTCTTCGGCCATTCTTCTGCTGGTCAAG